ATTGCAGAACAAAATTGGTGACTTTTGATTTCTTGGAACATTTGTTAGCAAGACGTTATCAAATCAGTGGAATAAAACAAAAGAGTTATAGTGTGCATACCTACTACTTCCACAGTCTAACTAACCTTCGACTTTTATCGTAAACGTACAGTTATCACTATTTTCTGATGAGTCTTTAGCTGTAAAATTGAAAAGGTTTGCTCCAATACTAAGATTAGACGGAAATGTTACATATGGATTAGGAGAGATTGGGAGGACATCCCCGGAGTTGTCATTTGCTATTATTGTTCTTGAGTAGTCAACTAATGCTGTGGGAGCACCTATGTCTGTATCCACAGTCGCATCAACCGGACATATCAGTGTAGGCTTTTCATTATCTGAAGCAAAGAAGTGAATTTAAATCAATTATTATCATCATTTTAATTTTATTGTGCTCATTTTTGTCAAATAAAATCGATAGCAATACAAACAATGAATATCACAAGAGACCTAATCAGAGACAGGATATACGAAAATGAAATTAAAGTGCTGTGTCATTATTTCCAAATATTTAGACAGTATAGACCCCGGAGTTGTCATTTGCTATTATTGTTCTTGAGTAGTCAACTAATGCTGTGGGAGCACCTATGTCTGTATTCACAGTCGCATCAACCGGACATATCAGTGTAGGCTTTTCATTATCTGAAGCAAAGAAGTGAATTTAAATCAATTATTATCATCATTTTATTTTATTGTGCTCATTTTTGTCAAATAAAATCGATAGCAATACAAACAATGAATATCACAAGAGACCTAATCAGAGACAGGATATACGAAAATGAAATTAAAGTGCTGTGTCATTATTTCCAAATATTTAGACAGTATAGACGAAATAAATATGTCAATGTTCGATTGAAGTTACAATAAAAGGAAAACAATGTAATCAATAATAGTTTCAAATAAATTGTAAATTTTTCGCAACGTAGAGTGCACATCCTCAAGGAGTCATTGGAAATGGAAGTGAATAATGATTGCAAAAGCTAAGGCGCAATAAACACATTAAAATAATGTCTAAATTGATGTTTGAAAGAGTGAAAAAAAAACAAACACTGAGAAACGTTAATTGACAAACTGTCACTTAGGAAGGAAATTTCATTGGTTTATTTAAGTGTTAGAAATGAAAGATAACCAATAGACGACGATATTTCTCATGTAAACAATTTTCTTACGTCCTTGACGACGGGCGATAAAATAATCAATGTGATTAGGAAACCTACTTTTGGAAATGCAGTGTGGGTAACTGCACATGCTTAAATTGTGATTTAATGAAGATGATGTTGATGACGATGGGGTTACGACAATGCCGATGATAGCGCCCGCGGCACTACTATTGCTCCTCTTCTGTCATGTACTCTTCCTAACGATGGCTGTACGAACCAAGGACCTATGCCTAGGCCCATCGATGAAGACTTACATTTACATCTGTCTTCTTCAGAAGATTAAAATGATGCTGGGATAGGCCTAGCCCTAGTTGATGTTGTTGCCGATGGTGACAACAAAGAGAAAGACGAGACCCATTCCTAACTAAACAATTAGATGCTGTCAGGGGTGGCGCCAGCGAGGGTGGCGCCAGCGGGGGGGGGGGAAGAGCTGCCCTCCCCCTGTTGGGGAGAAAAAGCACAATTCGACGTGGAGAAAAAAAATTATATGTATTTTCTACATATTAGTAAACTTTAAGATCGATTAAATAAGCCTTTGACAACCCTAAATTGTCAAAACATTCGGGACCAATTTTCGAAGCCTTTTAATCGAGGCCCGACCACGCCCACTTTCAATCATTCAATCAATCAATATTTATATTCCATCATTAAAAAAACAACAAATAACGATGGAGGAAATACAAAAAAGGCAAGGCCTAACAATGTGTTGTATCACCTTAACAAAAAGGCAACCATAAGCAATAATTATAGAATATTTAAAAAACATTAAAAATACACAAAAATCAAAACAAATTACATTACGGCAGATACAGAGACCCACCCACCCATATGAAATACATGTTACCAAAATGAACAAGTAATCGTTATTTAAGTCACAGTATTGCCATGAAGTTAACTTGCATTAAGAGATTGGATGTGCTTAGAAATCTGTGTTTTAAAATGATACTGTAAGAGTTTTTAACTCTTTCTGGCAAATTATTCCAAAATGTAGGTCCAGTAGAAAATACAGATTCAATCTTATGAATATCTAGTCGATAGTTATTTTTATTCCTAATATTGTACCCATGAATACTTTTATGATCAGTAAAGATAATTGTTAAAGGATGTGGGTAACATTCCATTGTTGTATTTAAACATAAATATACCTAGTTCTTTCCTGTACAGATCAAAAACATTCAATAGATTTAGTTTATCAAATAAAGGCTTCGTATGCATAAATATGGACTATTCTTAAAGCTTTCTTTTGCAATTTTAATATCTTTTTCACATTTCCTTTGTTTGCTTTACCCCATAGCATAATCCTATAGTTAATATGTGACAAAATAAGGGAATAGTACTAGTAAAGATTTCTCTGGTAGGAAATGCTTCATTTTTGTTTGGTGCGGTGTTCCCAGAAATATAAGATTTGTTTTATCTGTGTTGAACGACAATTTGTTACATTTAAACCAATTACAGATTTCGGAAAGCTCATTATTCATTACATTTAACATGTTATCGATATTACAATCCGAATAGAAGACAGTTGTGTCATCTGCAAATAATATAAATGAGAGTAGTTTAGAAGTATTCCATATATCATTCATAAATATAATGAACAATAAGGGCCCTAGTATTGAATCTTGTGGAACTCCACACTTAACACTCTCATATAATGAATTTACATGATTGTAGGACACATACTGCTTTCTATTTGATAAATAGTTTTGGAACCATTTATATGCTACACCACGGAATCTGTAATTATATAGTTTATCTAACAGAATGCGGTGAACGATCGTATCGAAAGCCTTTGATAAATCCATAAAAATGCCTAAAGTATACATGTCATTGTTTATTGCTTTAGTTATAATTTACCAAGTCCAGTATAGCCATATGTGTAGCATGATTCTTTCTGAATCCATATTGATTACTATATAAGATGTTGAAATTACTCAAAAAACTGTAACATCTGTCATGCATCAAACGTTCTAGAAAAATATGAAAGCACAGACACCGGTTTGTAGTTGTTAAATACCTCTGGATTATCTTTCTTATAAATTTTTACAACTTTGGCAATTTTTAAAGCATCTGGTACTGTTCCACTACTCATAGAAATATTAAATATAAAACTCAATGGAGACAAAATTTCTTTAGCTACTTTTTAAATTAAACCTGGATGTACATTATCATGACCTGGACTTTTGTTGCTAGAACAGTTTATATATTATTTCATTTATCTCCTCTTCATTAGTTGGTCTCAAGAAAAAAGTCGCATTATAGTTATTATTGAGGTAATAATTAAAATTGTTGCCAGTATGTTTTATTTTTTCATCCATCAAACGGTTCAATATTAGAAAAAACTTATTAACTTCATTGGCTATTTCATCGTGATCGGTAATTGATTCGTTATTACAAACACATTGCTGTGGTGTTACCCTCTTGCTACATCGTAAGATGCCATTAAGGATTTTACAAGTATTCTTCATTTATATCGATCTTTTGCTAATTTTTGCTAATAATTTAGAAAAATAATTTGTTTGGACAATCTTATGGAAGTATTTAGCGTATTACCTTGCTTTCGTCGGGGAAATCTGATCCCTTGTCGGGGCATATCCTCTCTTCCCCCCCCCCCCCCGTCGGGGACCTTCAAAGAACATGATTTTTCAAAATGCCGGTTTTCTCAAAATACACTTACCAAGTATCCTAACTTGGATTGCCCATTACTTCGCCATAAACTATCATATCAAAGTAATTTTTTTTTTTTTGCATTTTTAAGAAAATAATGCCCAGTTTTATAATATGTACAAAACTTAATTTTTAAAATTTCGAATTATCCCTAATTTGGCTTGGCTCTGGTTAACCTAGTGACTTGACATGTATTTTCGTTAAGTTTCATATATAATTAGACATGCTCCAGGTACAGATATAGTGCTAACCCTATTTCGTTTCATACTTTGACGTTGAAGCAAGACCTATAAGAACAATTTCCCTCCTAAATAACAAGAGTACTGTGTGAAGACAACTTATTTTCTTGCTTTGGATAAGTTATCCATTCGTAGAATTCCTACGAAGATAAGCCTATCTGAGAGTGACTATAGAGTGGTCGAGAATAGTACATATCTCCGTTTTTAAGTTGAAGAAAGATTGAATTGTTAGACACAAAGTATACATAGATCAGCCTGGAGTAAAAATGAAAAAAGGTGTGTAATTTGATAAGCGTAATCAAAACAATACATTTACTAATACAAGTATTCTGACAATTACGATCAAAGAAAACCTAATTATTAAGAATATAGGAAGAAGTAAGAATAGAGGAGCGGCTCAAAATGTAGTATCAAATGTTATACAATAAGGATAATAGCTCAATATTATAAGGTGATATAATCAGTTGGTAATAAGGTGATGTATTGAGGTGATTTCTAAATACTTGTGCGTAATTATTTTTTTCCAACTATTGAATGTGGAGGGAAACAAAATCCCTCACTTTCCCTCATAATACCATCATAGTACTCACCATCCTCAACACAAAATGTTTATCATTATTTTTCAGAACATATTATTTTATACTGGAAATAAATGTACTGTGGGAGGCTTGTTTTTACTTCGTAGCGTAAAAAGAACAACTCTTTGTTTTTGATTCAATTCTTTTTCTTGATATTTATTCTATTATTGGACCCCAATGGAAATAAGCATTCGGGCTTAATTGGGTTATCATGGAAAATCAAATACACTTTTTATTTTGATTTTTATTTTCTATTAGGACTATTAATTTCTTTTCTTTACAAATGTTTTGATGTAATCGTCTGTGTAACGATTTTTCAAATAAACTCAATTCAAATTAAACCTTAAACTGGTTTGTGAAATCTATCATTTGATATGGTTGGACTCAAATCACATCAAATAGGCCTACTACGTGTTACTATTCTATCATAACTACGGTTCCTTGTGTGCTGTTTTCACACTAACGACGGCAGTTTACCCGGCCGAAACATGTTAGTTTCATTAGGCTAGCAATGGCTATGGAAAATTAAACTCAGGCATACACCTGAGATAAGCATCTTTTATTATAGTGTTGTCATTGTTTTAAAGTAATTTCAGTTGCTTGCTACTTCATCGATCTTTTGTTAATTATCAATTCTACGAATAAAGTAAATATCACTTGTCTATTTGTATTTCCTTAAGATGTTAAATCATGGTCTCAGCATTATTAGTGAAAAAGTCAGATTACATACGTGAGCGAATAATGAAGCCACTTAACCATTGCAGAACAAAAATGGTGCCTTGTGATTTCTTGACATTTTTGAACATTTGTCAGCAAGACGTTATCAAATCAGTGGCATGAAACAGAAATAGTTATAGTGTACATACTACTACTTCACTTTAAGTGTAACTAACCTTCGACTTGTATCGTAAACGTACAGTTATCACTATTTTCTGATGAGTCTGTAGCTGTAAAATTGAAAAGGTTTACTCCAATACTAAGATTAGCCGGAAATGTTAAATTTGGATCAGGGGAGACTGTCGGGATATCCCCGGAGTTGTCAGTTGCTTTTATTGTTCTTGAGTAGTCAACTAATGCTGTTGGAGCACCTATGTCAGTATCCACAGTCGCATCAACTGGACATATAAGTGTAGGATGTTCATTATCTGAAGCAAAGATGTGAATTTAAATCAATTATTATTATTTTAATTTTATTTTGTTTATTTGTCAAATAAAAACGATAGCAATACAAACAATGAATATCACAAGGGACCTAAAGTCAGAGACAAGATACACAAAAATGATAGCTGTACAAGTATTTCCAAATATTTAAACATTATAGACGAAAAAAAATATATTATTAATGTTTATATTGAAGTTAAAATAAAAGAAAACATTGTAATCAATTAATAAATGAGATCAATAAATAATTGCAGCAGCTAACGCGCAACAAACAGGTACAAATACATTTCTAAGGTGATGTGTTAAAAGAGAACTAACAAAATGATTTTTTTGTTCTAAAGGGGATTTTTGATATGCCACTCATAATAGAATCAACCATAAAATCGTTTTTTGACAATTTTTTTTTATTAAGTTATAGGCGATTATATACGATCGTGTAAATAGTGCCGCGTACGATCTTTACGTACATGCTGTAACCATGGCTGACACTCTTTTGTTGACTACCGCTGATGCAGTTATCAAGTCCTATGCAAAATCAATACATCAACCTCGGAGGAATGTGTTTTACCACATCATTTTTTTTTTAATGCGGCGAGTATTTCTAAGCCTAACATTTTATGATTGTCCTGGAACTTTTTACCATTTCTCCAGTACTGCAGGTTGCCTAGTTACAGTAAATTAAATACGAAATGTTTCCACGATACTCTTGTGAGAAGCAGGTCAAGTCTTTGTACGCCGCCAATTCAGGAATGTCAAATGCCAATTCAGGAATGTCAAGTGGCTGACTGGCTCTGGCAGTGGTTCAGACAAACTTGTGCGATTCAGTGAATTGAGTTATTCGCCTATATTCCGCTCGGGTGCAGGTCAATACGGTCAGCCACTTGACATTCCGAGTTAGTAAAGCAGTGCTTTCTTAGTATTGTATATTAATTATGTTTGTATGAAAATTAATTCAAACAATGATAATAATAAACTTTGTTGCTTAACTTGTTTTATAAAAAGGGTGTTATATAAAAAGGGTGACCCTGAACTGTTAGAAAAGTGGAGGCCAATTTCACTGCTGAATACTGATTATAAAATTGCTGCCCATGCATTATATTATCTTGTAGACTACAAACTGTAATAAAATCAATCATTATGACCAAAAAGGATACATAAAGAACAGATTTATAAGTGAGAACATAAGGCTTGTAGACGATATCATGCACTATTGTAAAGAAGAACACAAAGAAGATGTTCTTCTCTCCTTAGATTTTCACAAAGCCTTTGGTTCTGTTGACAGAAACTTCATGGTAGCTGTTTTAAAACATGCTGGTTTTGGTGAATCATTTATTCATTGGGTAATTACCTTATATAAAGCCTCTGAATGTGTCATTAGTAATAATGGATGGATTTCCAGTAGTTTCAAAATGTATAGAGGCATAAGACAGGGTTGTCCTTTATCTGCACTTTTATTTATAATAGTTGTTGAGATTATGGCTACAAACATTGGAAATGATGAAAATTTTCAAGGTATTAGTCTTCCAACAGATAACAGTATACAGGCGAAAATATGACAACTTGCAGATGACACAATTATCTTTGCAAAAAACAAAGATAGCATAAAAAGAGCCTTACACCTTGTTAATATTTTTTGTAAACACTCCAATATGAAGCTTAATATTAATAAGACTAAGGCAATGTGGTTGTCACGATTGACTTATAAAATATTATTAAATAGCGCCCTCTGTAATTTCTGCCCTAATTGTATGGGAATAAAAAATAATGCAGCAGATCCTGAATCCGCCCCTGTGATCAGCGACGTTACTGACTATATAGCCTAGGCGGAGAAAAATAAATCCACTCTGGTAGCAAATTAAATTAAGTAGCAAATTTGGCAATGACTATCACGCATAATTATTAAATAGTACGTAATTACTTTTACATTGGATTTTCGTTGTTCTCTGCACATATTTCGATGAAATATGCCTCGCTGCCTCGCACTTTAGTACTACTCCGGTCATTTCCGCAACTAGAGGGCCGCCTAGCCTAGGTAGGTAAAAATATCTGGCTATAAACGACCTATCTAGTGTATCTGGGCATAGTTAGGGCTTAGGAATATGCCCTACTACTACAGTACTACATTTTACAGTTCAGTTAATAATGTCTAGCAAGTGGGGACTCTTGAATCGGCCTGCAGCTGGACTTGTGATAGTTACCTATGGTGAGGTCTAGTGTAATAAATATGCATTTTTCATGAGTCATTATGCATGTTAAAATACTTTCTCCTTATTCAGCATTTCTTAGGATCTTCTATAAATAATCTAGATTTCTATAAATAATCTAGATTATATATAGACGAGTGATACGGAACTCGTGGCTGGAACGGCTTCGTCGCCTCTGCAAAATTGCGAATTCCTGCGTTTTCCCTCACCTAAACAGCTTTTTCGTCTATCTTCATCCGTCTTCGATGTTTGTTCTTTAATCACGGTTTGTTTAGTTTTCAACATTTTATACATTTGATGAATTTTGAACGTGATTATGCGTAGGCCCTACCCGACGTTCATTGCAGGTATTGTGCTTGTTGTTTTGAACGGTCTGTACCTGGTAGATTACGTAAACATTCCTACTACTACACGGCGAAGCTACGTCAACACAATGACACTACCTATACCAATGGCGCCAGTAGCTTGTAGCGTTGCTTTATTTATCAAATATATTATACCTCACCTTAGTAATCAAATCTGGAACTCTCATAATAACAGTCTTAATGGTAGATTAAGGCCATGCTTTGGCTAATGATGAAATCTCACCCCAAGACGCCGGAATTTGTTTCACAACAATACTTGACGAATTTCTTAGGGCCAATCCTGAATTTATTGCTGAAGAGAAAAGTAGGCCTTGTAGCAATCCTGCTAATCGCTATATTCGTCGCAAACCAAAAACCCTAATTGAGGCACGCAAACTAAAGAATAAATTAAGGAAACAAGCTTTTAGAAAAGATGCAGTACAAGAAAAGAAAATCAAGTTTTTTGAAGCTCTTAGAGCCTACGACTATCTAAATAAAATCAACAGGAATAATGAAAAACAACGTAGTACAAAACACGAAGAAAAACTTTATCATTCAAATTTTTGGAGATATAGCAAACAATTACTTAACGACTCACTATATGCAACAAAGAACTTTCCTTCATTTACAAAAGAAACGGCAGATTTATTCTTTAATAAGAAGTATGGAACACCTAGCACCATCAACATAGATGAGTTAAAATGGATTCCAAAGTTACGTATTCCGCCATCTGAGATGACTGCTTTCAATATCGACAACATTCGTCCCCGTGATATTAGGAATGTGTTGAAGCGTAAGAGTGCAAATTCTGCTCCTGGACCTGATGGCATCCATTACGGAATTTTAAAGAAACTCACATGTACCCATTCTTTTTTAGCTACATTATACAATAAGATTTTGGCCTCTGGAGTCCCAGTATCGTCATGGACAGACAGCAACATTATTCTTCTTCACAAGTCAGGAAACACAGATACGCCTTCTAATTTCAGAATGATCGCGCTCTCTTCCTCTACAAGTAAAATATTTCATCTCATACTGGCCAATCGCATCGAAGATGAAAGGTGTAAATGGATGTGTAGAACATAATCAAGTTTTGCATGAAATAATTCACCATGCTAAATTTAAATCACGTACTGCTCATATTACCTTCTTCGACCTTGAAGACGCTTTCGGCT